GGAAAGAGGTAGAGAAGGAAGGAAGGAGAGAAGGAAAGAAAAAAAGGGATGGAAGGAAGGAAAGGGAGTGAAGGAAGGAGGGAAAGAAGGAGAGAAAGAGGGAGGGAAGGTTGGCCACAGCAACGTGTGGTGGGGTACAGCTAAAATAAATATAGTGTCCCTACTTCGCCGATTTTCACTTTTCGCAGATGGTCCTGGAACGTCACACCCGCGATAAAGGAGGGAACACTCTATTATTATTATTATTTGACAGGTGCCTCAAAAGCGTGTATACGCACACCCCGTCCTCTAAAGCGAACCAGAGTCATATGGTATAGATGGGAGCATACCTTTAATGTCAAGGGAGGGCTGGCCTTTGGAAATGGAAAATGACACCATTGCTGACACACAATGTGACGCGTCTACACCCCAATCCCCAAATTTGGAGTCGGCCTTTGGCTTCCTTGGCCGGCTCTGACTCACCTCGGGGTCTGGAAGGAGCCTCTTGACTCAGCCCCCAACGCAGCAGGATATAAATAAAGCGCATTAAACGACAACCAATCCCCGCAGCCTATCTTTAGGCACGACTCAGGGGCGGGAAGTATTTCAGGGACGCGCCGGCACCGCTCTCCATGTGGATCTCGTTTCTTTCCCCTAGTTTCCTCGAAGGCGGCGGCGTCGGCAGCGGGATCGACGACAGCCCTTCCACTCCCTTTGCAGAGGTGAGTCTCTCCTTGCGGATCTGTCGTTTTCCCATCGTGATCCCTGTGAATTGCACATATGGTAGTTTCTGCGGAACCTTCTAGATAGATTTGAAAAACTTTGGCGGTTAGCCCCGCCCACTCTCCCCTTGCAAGTATATATATATATATATAAGTAGCAGGTGGGTGGCGCCACCGCCTCAGTTCTTCCGCCGCGAAAGCCGCTAGAAAAACCGAGGCATGACAACAGCGGGGAGGATGGGCGCGGATGTGCAAATTCACAGGTGATCACTTGGGAAACTACGGTTATAGGTAAGCAACCTATAATAACAACAATAAAATAATAATAATAATAATAATCGTATCGGTTTAAAGGCCTCCATAGAGGGAAGTAGGCAAGGCGGTATATTCCCTGAGGTGCAAAGGGCACCCCGAAGGTCATCTAGTCCAGGCCACGTGTGTGCCAATGCATGGACCTTTGCTTCTCTCTTTCCCTCCTCTAGTTCTGGGACCAGTTGGACCGCTCGATGGTCTTCCCGTTGCTGAGTGGCGGGGGAGGCCTGGAGGCGGCGGAGGGGAGCGGCCCCCGGGAGAGCGAGCGGGGACCCCCGGCCCACCCCACCGACCTCTGGGGCCCCGGGCGGCCCCCCCGGCTCCCCGTGGCACGACGCTACCGGGCACGCTACAGCTCCCGCCCTGAGAGGTCGCCCGCCATCGAGGGGTAAGGACAAGCTTGCCTACATCTGGACCCATACATACCAGTTCCCCTTGCCTCCATTCCGAACCCCACCAATGGTGCATCTGGACCAAACTTGACACCCAGACCCAACATGGCTAAATTTGCACACTGGCGGGGTTTGCGGGTGGGTGATTGACCCACATCCTTAGCAGACAATGCATTTTTCAACTAACCTGGGCATCGGTGGTGTTTGGAGTCAATTTCTGACGGCATGGAGACATCACAAATTCCCTCCGTGACCTCCTGACTGAATCATCCTGGCTGCCTCAGTTTTCTCTCTGTGACATTTTGAAGCCAGAAGAGGGCACTGGAAACCTTGTATTGGAACGTGTGAAGAGGGGGGAGATGGGCAGGAAACTGAGAAGAAAGGGGAGATGGGCAGGAAAGGTGTCTAAAAGGAAGTATGTATTTATTTATTTATTTATCGTGTCATCAGCAACCATTGTATTACAATTCTAACAGAGCAAAACAAACACACAGATTAAAAAGAAAGAAAGAAACACACAGATTTTGCAAATTTGGTATTTGGTTAAATGTCCTTTGAGCAGTATCTGGCCACTTGGAGTGCCTCTGGTGTGGCCGCAAGGAGGTCCTCCCTTGTGCATGTGGCAGGGCTCAGGGTGCATTGCAGCAGGTGGTCAGTGGTTGGCTCTTCTCCGCACTCGCATGCCGAGGATTCCACCCTGTAGCCCCATTTCTTGAGGTTGGCTCTGCATCTCGTGGTGCCCGAGCGCAGTCTGTTCAGCACCTTCCAAGTCGCCCAGTCCTCTGTGTGCCCAGGAGGGAGTCTCTCATCTGGTATCACCCATGAATTGAGGTGCTGGGTTTGGGCCTACCACTTTTGGACTCTGGCTTGCTGGGGTGTTCCAGCGAGTGTCTCTGTAGATCTAAGAAAACTATCATAGAATCAAAGAGTTGGAAGAGACCTCATGGGCCATCCAGTCCAACCCCCTGCCAAGAAGCAGG